AGAGAGAGAGAGAGAGAGAGAGAGAGAGAGAGAGAGAGAGAGAGAGAGAGAGAGAGAGAGAGAAGGGGGAATTGCAATAAAGGCGAGGGCAAATGCTAAAATATGGTCATATCTGTGTTTTCTACAGAAACCAGCAGTTTGCAGCATTGTTTGGTGTTGTGACAGTATTTGGAATCCTGTTTCTTCTTGGGCAGCGGTACAAACTGTATCAGCCATTGGTAAGTAGTTAATATCATTATATGTTGATGTCGCTCAATGATTTAGAAAGTCAATGGACCTTCATGAGCAAAAGTGCCTCCTTCCTAGGAGATGTGTGGCCATTAGCAAAATAGTACATTGCAAACTACTATTTTATGGCATATATATTATAATGTACAACCACCTACCCACCCTCTCCTGTTGCATTATCCACCCACCTTCCACCTACACCTCATCCACCCACCTTTCACTAACACCTCATATACCAACCCTCCCTCATCCACTCACCCTCCACCACCACCTCATCCACCTACCCTTCCTCATCCAACCATTCTCCACCATCACCTCATCCACCCACCCTCTCTTCCAACCACCCTCCAGCAATACCTCATCTATCCCTCTACACTATCATGTCATATACCAACCTTTCCTTATCCAACCACCCTCCAGCCTAATGGCCTAATCTACCCCCATCCACTATCATCTCATATACTAACCCTGCATCATCCAACCACCCAGCATTGCGTCACCCACCACTATAACATCATACACCTCTCCATATAACCAACCCTCTCTCATTCAACCACCATCTACTACTACCTTATCCACCCACCCTCCACCTTCACCTCATCCAGTCAAGCTATTGTCCATATACACCCCCTTTCCTCCATCACCTCATCCACTTTCTCTCCCTTTTCATGTCATCAGACCACCGCTACCTCCGCCATTTTGCCTTGCCACACTTGCTTTACAATAGTGCCCTCTATCACCTCACTGAGATCATGTTGTCGGTATCGTGTCATCTACTACATGTTCGTGCCGTACTTAACTATTGCAGTTACCAAAGCAGTTTCCTTATGGCGGGCTGTGGGTGGAGAATGGGCACGACCCAGCAACGATGCCCGACATAACGCATTACACGTTTGAACCAGTAGAGTGAGCTGGCTCTCTGCATGTGGAGAGTCGTCGCCATTGTTGCCATGGCAAAGCAAACCTGTCTGGTTGCTGTCGGCAACCTTCTGTGGGCAAGTGTCATCGTTCACAGTGGCAACGTTATAATTCAGTGCCACGCTTGTATTCCTCTGGATGGTTTAAAATGTTGCAAGCATGCTCTACGTTGATGTGTATTCATTGATCAGTTGGCCCATGATCCAGCATTATTGTTTCAACCTAGTTTGTATAGTGGGAAAAATAATTTGCATCGCGGCAAAGCCAAAAAACAGCATTATTGTAATAGCTGATATAAAATGCAGACAGATCAGCTAAAAGCATCCGTAGAAGCTCTTGTCAATAATAAATTATTATTTGTTTCACAAAAATATTTTCCATTGACTATTTTTATTCATACAATTATCATTCAGTCAGCGGTGGCCATCTAAACTATTTGCATACGTTACGTAAGGCATATTTATATTTATTATCATTTATACAGTACCTTCAGAGTTAGCAGCGGGATGATACCGTGAGCTTTTAATATTAAAAATTGATGAGACAATTTACATTTCATGAAATTTTAATGAGTATACACGTTTCTAAGCTAACGTGCAGTTGTAACACGGCTGTTAGGTGAATGTGAAAGAACCAATTTTTGCCTAGGTTATCTACATAATACATAGCCTTTGTTGGCAGTATTGAGAGCATGGTTATTTCTAGACTACCATCATAAAAGTCTTATGCCTGAACTCGAGCTCTGGCTAAAAGTTGTTCTCGTACATTCTGCAAGATGCATGAATCCAAGTACCGAAACTGTCTTCAGCATTTATATTTGTAGCATTAGTTTACTGTTATACTTCAAATTGCACCACTCTCGCGCTCAGCCTTTCAAGACTGCGACTAGTGTCGTAACCTGTTTACTGCTACTCCAACCTCCAGCTCTCTCTCTCTCTCTCTTTCTCTCTCTCTCTCTCTCTCCCCCCCCTCTCTCTCTCTCTCTCTCTCTCTCTCTCTCCTCCTCCTCCCTCCTCCTCTCTCTCTCTCTCTCTCTCTCTCTCTCTCTCTCTCTCTCTCTCTCTCTTTCTCTCACTCTTTCTCGCAGCCACCCAAGGCTGCGTCCAATGTCGTAGCGCTACTTCGTTGCTACACCTCAAACTCGACCACCTCTCTCGCACGCTCCTCGTCGACCAACTCGAGCTTTCTGTAGTGTTTCTTGCGCATCGGCGACAGCGCCGTCAGCGTCGCGTTTGCTATGCGCCAGCGATACGTGTAGACGAGGAGGCTGAGAATCAACACGGAGACACCGACGACCGCGATGATGCCCAGCACGTTCCAAGTCGACCTCGCTCGCACCGCAGTTTGGGTTTGGGCACCGCAGCCCAACTCGTCGACGTCGACCGCGAGTAAGTCGGCACCTTCGAGCGCATGTGCCGAGCCGGCGCCGCAGACCATGCTGCCGCGAGCGAGCGTCGAGCGACGTGTGCCGTTCTGCATCCAGCGCACGAACTCGGCGTTGGCGCACGAGCAGACAAACGGATTGCCGGTGAGGTCGAGCGTCGCGTCGAGGCCGGCGAGCGTGCTTCGGTCGTCGTCGCCGAGCGCGTGAATGTGGTTGGCGGACAAGTTGAGCAGCCGCACGCTGGCGAGGCAGTGCGCGGGCACGGAGAGCGCGTGCAGGCGGTTGCGCGCGAGATTCAGCTCGGCGAGCTGCGCCATGCCGCAGCCGAAGAAGCCGGCCGTACTGTTCAGCTCGTCGATGCGATTCTCGGAGAGGTCTAGCACGCGCAGGTCGGCCAGCCACGCGCCGGCGAAGACGCGCGGGTCGTAGGCGGCGAAGGCGTGCTGCAGCAGCAGGTAGCGCAGCTTGGGCATCGATTGGAACTGGTTCGTCGCGAACACTGCGATGGCGTTGTCGCTCAGCGTCATCTCCTCGAGGTTCCACATGCTGCTGAAGGTGAACACGCCGAGCGCCGTCACGTTGCTGCCGCTCCAGTCGAGCCGTCGCAGTGCTCTGAAGTCGTTGAACATCGGCACCTCGGTGACGTCGGACGCGTTGCTGCCGCTGATCTTTATAAACTCGGTTTCGGCCGGCAGTGCGCTCATCGCGGCGGTAAACGCCGAACTGTTGAGCAGCCGGTGGCAGGTGACCGTGTGTACGATGCAGCGGCATCCGACGTAGCAAGCGTCCGGGAATGCGCCGACGACAAGCGGCGTCACCGCCAGCAGTAGCAATGACAGCTGATAATACATCGCCGTCTCTGGGCACAGATCGCAGAAACTAGCAGAGTGGCAGGTTGCTCTCGCCCGGCGTTTTTAAGTTCGGCGCGAGTGATGATGGCTGTAGATGCGACGCGAGTCGAGAGATGTATCTACTGCGGTAGGCAGCAAGCTGAATGAAGCGCTATTTTGCTATAATAGGCGTAGCCACCGTGCTAATGGAAGGTCGCGAGCTCACTGTTTAATGGATCACACGCTGACTCTGTCGGTGTAGCAGTGAATGACCTGCGTTCCACCTTAAACCAACGTGTGCATGAGACAGTGACGCAGCTATCAAGTGCGTTGTCTTGTTATGTCTATAAATCCGTGCACTGCTCTGATGCACGTACCGCGTGCAAGCGGCAGGGAGCGCGCGGCGGGGTTGGGTGGGGGGGGGTCAGTTGGCAACATTTCTAAGCCTACTAAGCCGTCATTTTATGTAGTCTCTCGTAATTAATAAAGGCACTATGGCGGATTATGGTTACTCGCATATCAGTGTTTTGCTATGTGCTAATGGACATGTTATTTACAATTATAGTCCCCCTCGATCCAGACGCAGTGGCCACCCCTCCCCCATCGAATGGTTCACGTTACTGGCAGGCGGAATTTCATCGCAATGTTTGTCACTAGCCAACTCTGAAAGATAACGATGATGAAAGGAGCAAAGAGCAATCAGACAAAACGGTAAGCCAAAAATTCTTACCAAACGCCATCGCAGCGCTCGTGTCTTGTCATGCGAACACTTGGCACAATAAAAATTATTCCGACTGCGTCGATGAGCAGATACGGTGTGGTGTGTTCTAATAGATAATTATATTCGTCTTGGATCAATTCGGCACATATGTGTATCCCACTGGAACACCGTAAGAGTGTTTAAAACATGACAGACAGTTCACAGACGCAGACGTTTATTAAAATAGTAGCAGCAGCAGTGCTAGCCCAGAAATATACGCACGCACCTATCACACTATGAAATTATTCTATAGAGCGTGCGAATATTCGTTCCATTTCTTTCAAGTCCCCCAGTACAACAATCTCATAAAACTAGGTATAAATCGATAAACTAGTAGTGATGAGCGAGTCACAGCCGGCGTCAAACCTCTGCAGGCTCGTTTGATCTTTCCGTTACAATAAACTGTAAGTAAGCGGCGTGGTTTTGTAGGATCAGTATGAAGACCTTGAGCGCGAAGAAATGTGGTAGGGATATTTTCAGCAAAACGTTCGTGAAATGATAAAGAAATATAGTGACCATTAAATTGAAATGCACCCGTCGATATAAAATTTCTCTACGATTAGTTTAACAGCTCTATTGATCAACAATAAATTATTTGCAGGAAATATAGTTGAGTGGTTATTAAAGTACGTTGTTAAAGTAGCCTAAAACATGATTTTATAATTAGAATCTTGTGTAGAGCACTGCATTTGCAACCAAAACCCTTCTTATTTCCTCACTCGATCCTCAAGTAAAAATGCTCTTCTGCGACTCAGAGTCATATGGTTAGTGACAGCGAGGAGGAGAAGAAAAAGAATAAGTAGAACCAGAAGAAGCAGGAGGAGGAGGGGGAGGAGGAGGCAGAGGAGACGGAGGAGGAGAAAGAGCACTCGTCTCTGCCAGGAGCAATTAATGAGTTTATTCTCCATATACATAACGCAAACGTCATGCGTTCAATTTGATTTATAATTTCTATTACCAATACCAGCTAGTTCATACCGATATAACTTGATACCATTTGACGCCCAAAAAGATACAGTACAATACGTGAGACAGTGAATGTTTCATGCAATACTTCTGCTACGGATACATGATGAACGCGACTATACAAAAATGTAGGGCCCCTACGCGTATCTAAATACGAACCAATTGACGCACAAATAACGTTTTTTTTTAAATAATTTTTTGGTATTATTCTTTTGAAATGGGGTGTCTTCCGTTCCCATCATCAACATTTGTAATAGACAATTTTACTTCACGAAAACGTGCAGTTATCTAATATCGCCGTACGGAACTAAAATACAGCCCCGTAAAGTAAAGAGAAACTATATTTTATACATACACGTTTTCACTACAGCAATACATAATTACAGGCACGTATTATTTAGGGAGAGGGGTAGCTGTCGAACCCTCGTTGGCAAATTCAAATAAAATAGTAAGGCTAATAAATCCAGATAACGCTTAACTCAGGAGGAAAGTTTTTGTTTTTATTATTTACTCCTGCTAAACTGAATGTATAGTAAATAATTAATTGAACAAGATTATCCCGTCTAACTTTAGAATTCTACTAGAATTACATAACTGCTGGTATATTTTCTAAAATCCTTTTACATAATATATTTCTTCGTCATTACATCACCCACTCTCCACCCACCGACTTACGAATGAGGCTCCGGCCTTGGGTCATAAGAACAGAAATATTTTTCACATCATTAATACGAGTTGCCATTCTGGTACTATTTCCACAGGATCCACACGCGACGTTTGTCACTTCCTATCATCCTTTAAAGGTCAAGCGAAAATGGAACATGTATAAAATGAATGAATATATATATATATATATATATATATAATAATAAATAATAAATAATAATAATAATATATATATATATATATATATATATATATA